TTGCTGTGAGCTGTGATGCCACCGCACTGTCCCCAGGGGGACATCTTGAGGCTCTGTCTCCAAAAAAAAAAAAAAAAAAAAAGACTTCCCATTTACACTGTTCATCCACAGCCCAATTCTTCTAAGAACTAGACTCAGAGATAGAAGGGTCTCCAGACCTCAAATCTTACTCCTTTAGTGTACTGAGGAAACTGCTGCCTGGCCTGAGAGATGAAAATGGTTGACCTGGACATGAGCCCTGTGTAGGATCTATGTCTCCAGCCTCCCACCGGCAGCCATTTAGCATTTTACATAAAAATGCATTGCAGGGGGGCGCCTGTGGTTCAAAGGAGTAGGGCGCCGCCCCGACCCGCCGGAGGTGGAGGGTTCAAACCCAGCCCCAGCCACAAAAAACAAACAAACAAACAAACCCCGGCGCCAGCCAAAAAATGTAAAAATGCAAAAAAAAAAAATGCATTGCAAATAGCTCTCCAGGAAGTTATTTATAATTCCCTAAGTGGAAGAAAGGGAGGTAGAAGCCGTGGAGATCAAAGCTGTCACAAACCCCTATAGGAGTGGAGAATTTAGGATGCTGGGAAGGAAACCAGCTTAAGCTTCAGGGTGAGAAATGAGCTCCCAGACCCACCAAATGGTGCTGGGGATGAGTGTTGTTAAGATAAAAGGATAATGAAGATGCAGGGAGCTGCCTGATCAGGAAGAGCCCGATCAGTTGTGTGCCCGTGAGCAAATCACCGTCTTCCTTATGGTGGCTCCCCCAAGGGAGGTTAAGGACAGGCTATCGAGAAGAGTGTATCAGGCCACCATTTACTTGCCCAGGTCGCCTGGACCTCCAAGAGCGGGGGCTCCGCAGACCCAGCGCGGAGAAGATGGAAGCCAAAGTAGCGAAGGCAGCTCTCTCAGGGACAAATTCTCTCAATAATGTCAGAGCTTGCATCCCACGCACAGTCATCCTAGTCCTGGAGCTAGGGGCCTAGGGCAGCGTGTGTCGCGATTCGGAATCTCTTGTTCTAAAAGCGGGGTGGCAGACCGGGTGCAGCTGGCTACCTGAAGAGATCCTCGTCTAGCGGCTCGAGGTTGAGCACGCTGGTGACCAGGACGCTACGGAGGTCGCCTGGTGGGTCGCCGCGGTCGCCCCCGCCCTGCTCCTCTTCTGGGACCTTCGGGGATGACATCTCGTTCATTCTCTGCGGGCCGGGGGTCACTGAGGTGGGAGGGACACCGAGAGATCTACAGAATCTGCTGGCGTTTCCGGCAGATTGTCCCGGTGACCGGAAGTCACCTGCGGACCCCTTACCAAGCAGGACGCAGGCTATGATTGGTCAGTACTCCTGTCAGTCTTCTGGTGGGTGTGGCTATCCTTCTCTAGCAATTGGGGAAAAAGAGTGCCAATCTGAGTATCTTGTATGTGATTGGATGTGACAGTGAGGGGGGCAGATTCTCAGGACTGGTTAATAACGAAAGAGTGTCATTTTCCTTCTGTCAGATAGTAAAGACGCCCCCAGCCTCTTATAATCCCTATCAGGCCTAGAGCTTCTCCTCAGCTCCGTGATGGGCCACCCAATTCGGGCAATCCCTTAAGGCGTTCTGGGTCCACGCCAGCCTGTAAACCCACATTGGGTGCCCTCTGACCCTTAGTGTGGTCTTGGCAACGGGCTGGGACCAACCCCTAGAGTGGGCTGAGGGGGCGGCCATGGAGCTGGGCAGCTGCTTCAAGACCTATGAGGACTTCAAGGAGTGCTTCAGCGCCTACAAAAGGGAGAACAGGTGCTCCTTCATTCTCAGGGACTGCATCTCTGTACGCTTCCACAACCTCAACCATGGCACCTCCATCCGCGAGGACATCCTGTAAGGGCGGGACAGGGCCGGGCGGGAGGGTGGGAATGGGGGCTGACAATTCTCTGGAGGGCGGCCTAGAGGAGGAGGGAATGAACTTGGACCCTGCTCTGTGTCTATGTAGCCATTCATTCAACAGGCACTCATTTAGCACCTGCTGCGTGCCTTGCGTTTTGACCACCCACCCACTTCACTTTCACTCCCACAAGCTTTACTGGAATTTATAGTAATTGTCATTTCTCCTCTTTTTTTTTTTTTGAGCACCTGCAGTATGGCCTTCACAAAATGGATAGAAACGCCTTGGCGATAATCTCCATCAGCTCCTCTTTACAAAGCAGTAACATGGCTATCTGTTGGTTAGTTCGTTCATTCATTCATTCATTCATTTTGTAAATGGTTTTTGAGTTCTTGAGATTAACAACCGTTTTTCAGACACTTTCCATGTCCCAGGCAGCGTTCTGTCCTTTATGCATGCTTTACCCTGGAGGGCTTTTTTCAGAATTATAGGTAGATATTCTTTTTCCCACTTGGCCTATGAGAAAACAGTCTTGGAAGCTAAGACAGAGAGGGATAGAAAACTCAAGCGCCTTCAGGGCTCAGGTGAAACAACCCAGTGTAAGAAAGTTTAATTTTCACCTTTAGAAGAAGAAGGGAGAAATTGAAATAACTGACACCAGGACCTTGTGTTGAGACAAGAGAAGGGTAAACTGGGCAAAATGGAGAAACAGATGCCATCTAATCAACTCCAGCCAATGACTACCACGTGAAAAGAAAGATAAGGTGTTGCTAGAATTTGGGGCAAGAATAGTCAGAAATGCAAAATTTGTATGAATTTATCCTTTTTTTTTTTTTTTT